CATTACATAAAATTACGCTTTTTATCTCCGAAGGGGTAAGCAGAGGTGCACATTACGGCACTTAAACTGTCAAACACCAAGCGGTCACCGGTGACTGCAACCTATTGTTCTATAATTTTTGTCTATAATTATTGTCTATAATGACGGTATTCAACGAGTTAATGCACTCTACAATGTAACACCCATTTTACACTACTTCTATTATGAGTCCCATGTAATAGGGGGTGAACCTATTGCCATATGCCAGGCACATTTCCAGCCTTCGTGCTACTACTGAAATTTATTAAAAACCCAGCAATATTTTGCTTGACCCGGGAATGTCCCCCAAGACCCCTTGCTCGGCAGTTGCAATTGCGACCACTCAGCCAATGAGGCAGTCAGACAGTAATATGTAAATAAGATACCTAAAAACATATTACCTAATATAAGGATACAACTCCCCAGGTATTTTATTACTAGGCAACTTGAGATCATCGGTTAGAATTGACAGTGGAGCCACAGTGGTTATATGAGCATATGGACGAACCGATTTCTTTTCTGGCACTTTTTGTTCTTCGTTCTGTAAGGAAAACACATTATTATTTACTAAACATTTTTACCCTTAAAAATTATAAATACTACTATGTTAGTCTGCTAATACTATAAATGCAAAAATTCCGAGAAGTTATTAGGAGTATATAACATTAAATTTTATTATAGATTAGAATATCACATAATTATGTTACTCTTTATCTCAGTAATGTAAGCAAGTGTTGACAAAGCCTACTTATGGATAACATTGTTTAAATGTTTAATTAAAATAATTATTCAGTGCAATGCATGCACAGATAACATCACTTAATACTATTAAGAAAATAAATAGACCATAACCATTCTACATGGATGAGTGCCATATATCATGAATAACTTACATTTTGCTGTAGAAGATTGAAAGTTGCTGCTTGTGGCTCCGTATGTGTTACTAAGGGGAGTGTATGTATAGACTCGGTACGAATAATCTCGTCAAACTCTCTGTACAAGCGACTGTCATCCAACAAAACAGCATGCATGAACAATGTCCCATTATTGCGGGTCTTCCGTGGCACTTTCAACTTTATATCGCTGAAAATTAAACCACAATAAGTCACCTCCAAGAAATGGTAGCTATCATCTTACATCGGTTTGAATCCGTTTTAAAGTATACTTACAAAGTCGCCGGATTTAAATAGTCAAACTTGAGAGAAGTATGTACTTTTGAAACACTATCCGCTGTTGAACCTTCTAGATGCGGACGTTCCTTTATAGAAGTATACAAAACTAGATGCTGCACAGGTTTTGAAGCTAAATAAGATGAAAAACATCTCTCGCCACGACTACATTCTGGCGGTATGAAAATTTCAGCTAATGTCCAAATAGTATTGACAACATATACAGCAAAAATTAAAGACAATATTAAACTAACAGATATATATTTCATTACGATTGATCGTTAATTACTTCCAATGAAATAAAATAATTATATGTTCGTAAAAATTTCACGAATGTGCACGCAGAATCAATCTGAATGTGACAGCGAGATCTGTCAATAGTGTCAAATGAAAACAAAATATTTTTGATGTTGTACCTTCATTTCACAATCGATTCTAATATTATTGCAACTTGAAATATTCGATGTAGCACTTTATTCGACTAATTGTATTTAGTAACTTTTATTAGATATTCAGATGTACGCAATATTTTACACACTTAGGTAGGCGAATTTATAATCATTAAGTATTTTGAATTAATGCTTTTAATTACTTGAAAAAGAAAAATATTTCTTTGCTTTCTGACATCAATGCGCGTGACGGAACGAGCCCCTGTCTTGTATTATTTATTTTTTATTTTGGTAACATCATAACTCATGGACGACTTCAAAACGTAATAAATCGGTGTTTCCTTGGAAATAATATTGATGTTTCACAAATTTAGAGGAATTACCAAAGGTATATTTAATCGTTTAAGTTAAGGATTACATGAAGTGTTAAACTATACGTACCAAATATACGGGGCCTATGTGGCATATTGTTTTGACAGTTGTCACTTTATCTAATCTGATATTTTGTTTATATTTCAGAATGGAAATGGTTTTGTGCCACCTCTGGTTATTGAGTTATTTCAAGGAGTTCAAGCTTACCCAGTACTGAAAAATGAGAACAGCGAGTACGAATATGTGTCCAAGTTACCGTGGCAATGGATGCTAAAGACTTGAGGACCGAGTCTGGTGTGAGTGAACGCAATAATGACGGCAGCAAGTACAGTCAAAGCAGCGGTATCGCGCTCCACTGTGACAGAAATAAGCCGTATCAAGATATCGGATCTAACTCATTGGGTAAAGTGGAGGTACAGAACGCGCGGCCATGCGCCGTCATCGGTCCCGACCGAGTCGTGCCTCCGCCAGCCGTCAGCGACGCGTATCACATAAAGAAAGGTCCTGCCGAGCCATGGCCATGCATGGACAACACGTACAGACGTCTACCCGAATACCCCCATAAGTTAACCAGTTTCCAGAATCCAACAAGAAACATATCACCAAGACAAACATTCCAAGAAAACATGCAGCGTATTATGGTGCCACCCACATACAACTCAATCAAAATAAACGATGACACCAACTATGCTCAAATAACAGATAGAAACAACAGTGTACCTAAGAATATCAAGTTAAATATGCCGCCAGAGGCAAAGTTCTGTGATGTGCCTTATGCTGTTAATCCTACTAATAATGAACTTAAAAATGTTAGGAACCCTGAAATGTGTTTACCTAGTGTGAATCCCACTGTGACACGGACTGCTCCTCATGGATGGCCTACAGGCAGTGTTAATTTACGATCCACGAGGATGTATAGTGCTCCTGAACTGTACCAATATCAAGAGTACCCTAGCTGTGCTGGCCCTCGACCAGTAGTGCCCAGACCTCATAGAACTGTTCCAGAAGATCAGGGCTATGTGTATGCTGACCCTTACTATCAAGAAGGAAACATTCGCTTCAAGCCTTATCCAAGTGTGAAAGAAAGATATCCCCAGCAAAGGTATGAGTACATTGGTAATTATTCTAATCCATTCCATCCACCACCTGGTTTTCCAGCTCATAAATATGAGTTACAGAAGTCTATAGCACCACATCCCTATCCTCCATATCCTCCAATCAAGTATTTGGATAGCCGAGTAGCGGAACCTCATGTCATGGAAGGATATCAAAGAACTCCCCAAGGTAACTACAACATTCAATATCGTAATCAAGTAATCCATCCAAATTATGGACCAGTAATAAGTAACTGTCCCCAAAATAAAATGCATTCATATCCACCTGATGCTCATATGAAAACAATACAGTCAAACAAACTACCTTATGATAACAGTACTAAAGCGTATATTGAATATGATAATAATAGACCCAAGATATATCCTCCAACTGAAAGCTATTTTGTCAGTGAAATGTCTAGGATGCCTATGAAGAGCCAAGTTATAATGCCTAATTATTCTACAATAAATGTACATAACCTACCTCCAAATCCATATTACAAAAAAGACACCCAACAGTTAAAAAATTATGAACATATGGCTCATTTTAGAAACATGGACCCTAACATTAATATACACAACCCTATGTCCAGACATGCTCCTGTGTTTTCACCCAACACACTAGCAATTTCTCCCACAGATTCTAATACTAGTAATGATACAACCCAAACTCTTGGGACCTCTCAAGAAGATTGTGGTTATGTGAGTCAATCATCTACAGCAAGTGTTAGAAGTATTGATTCTGGCATCAACAGAATACCAAATGAATACCTTAGGAAATATTATGATAATAGGTATGGACCTATTGTCAGATCCTCGCCTATGATGTCAAAGTCGCAATTAAATTCTAATAATAATATGTCCAAAGACAAAAAACAAATAGATGTTAGACAGTTCCTGCAAATGTGGAATGAAGGAGATGAGGAGCAAGAAGAAAATGGCTCAAAAGAAATAATCATCCAGACAGGATCTAGCGAGAAAACGAACTTCAATAAGACAAATGATGGAATGAATAACCAAGAACAACTGTATGTCCTTGGACTTGTAAATGTTCCAAGCGAAGAACTCGCTAAATATGAACATATTCAAAAAGTCTCCAAGTTACCTGAGAATATCAAAGGATATAACAGTATTGAATTACTCAATCAATTTGAAGAGGTGATAGAATCATCGAATATGAGTAACTACAAGACACCAGTCTCCAAAGACTACCATATGGCCATGAAAGTTCATCAGAAACAGTTAACAGGAGTGATACCACCTAGACCTGTTTCACCTTTAGATGTTGAAGCTAAAATAAGTCAATCTGTCATTCATAAGGAGGTTGGCTGTAATTTTGAAATAAAGCCTTGTAGTCCAAAAATGCTCAATGTAGAAGTAGCTGCACCTGTTCAAAATATTTTGGCTGAAAGGTCCATAGAGAAACTTGCAAATCCAGTGATGAATAAGTCACCTATGTTGAATGGAATTAATGAAAATATTGATTGTAACTTAATGAAACGAGGTGATCATCGAATGAATATGAATGAAAACATAAGAATTCCCAGCTGCAAAATGATTAACAATACACAATTTTCAAATACTAACCCTATGGACCCTATTAAAACCAGCTATAGTTTACAGGACCTAGAAAGTAATTCAGGCTTATGTCTAGCTTCACTGCCTCGACTTGATAATGACATTGAATTAAACTTCCCTGAAGTAAATCAACAATTCATTAATGCAAATAAAGGAGATAATAATATTTTATCATCCTCAATGAGAGATTTGCCAACATTAGAGGTATTAGATCCACCAGAGAACCAAATCAAAAACAAATACGATCATACTAATTTATCTCGGGCAGAAATTGATGCTGCAAAATCGCCGTGCATTATTGAATCTGAAACAGAATTTTCTAAATTGAGTAAATATCGTAAAACTAAAATCAATTCCTCAGAAGTTAAAGAAATCCAAATACAACACAATATCAATGCCATCAGAACGGATAGTGTTATAATAAAAAATCCTGATAATATAAAGAATTACGAAGATAATTCAGACATTTCATTAAATTGTTCAGATAAAATCGTGACAGATGTTCAACAGGTTCCAATAAATTTAACTGCTCAAGAAAATCTTTCAACTATTGTAAAAACTTCGGAAAATATACATCCTATTGAATCAGAAAAAGAAACTCTCCTGCCTACTGAAATTGCAATAGACTTCAGTTTAAATAAAACAGACAACCTGAATAATACTGAATCCATAGAAACTAAAATAGATTCACCAGGTAATTCACCCACACATGTGGAAGAAAACTATTTAAACACATTTATAAACAGAGAAGCTTCATCTGATCCTATTAGTTTATTACCTGAATTTACTGAGCGACATGATAACATCGTGAAAGAGGATAAAGGGTGTGATTTAAGCAAGAGGGAAGGAAATGATAATATACCCATTACGAATAACGAAGACTGTAAAATAAAAGAAGAAACTTTAACTAGCAATGATGACCATAAAAGCCTTGTAAATTACTTACACGAAAAGGAAGAAAAAAGTGCTGTTACGGAGCATACAATTACGGATAAAAATGAGTCACTGAATCCACCAGAAACGGAATTGCCTGATAGTGTTAATTTGACTGTTTTAACTAGTGATCATAGCACAGAAACAATTCAGAACGATGTAGACACCATTGATACTTCAAATAAATCGTCAAAAGAAGCAGACTACATGTTTCCAGAAACACATTCAAAGTATACAGAAAACCTCACAGAAAAGTCAAATGAAATTTATCAACCAAACATTGAAGATAAAAGTGCCGCTAAAGATGAAAATGATGTGATGATGGAAAACTGCGAGAATCATGATTTAATTGAGGAATTAAGTAATCCCATACCTAATAAATCAGAACTTGATTTGGTCACTTCACAAAATAATGAATTTAATGAAATCTCAGATACTGGAACTTATCCAGAAATCAAAGAAAAAACACCTTATACCTCACCTTTACATCAAATTGATAACAAACAATGTCAATTAAATGAAGATTTGTGTTGCGATGACTCTGAAAATAAAGAAAAAACAAAAGAAATATTTGCAGGAAAGATTTCAAAACATTATGACATAGATCATACTGATGATAAAATCGAAAATGACAACCCCTTACAGTTATTGGACGAACTTTCATCATCATCAAATCACGAAGATAAATTAAACAAAACAAATAATGAAGAATTTCTAGATACACCAAGCTGTATGAAACAATCGGATCTTTATGACTGTGATCAGATTATTAATGAAGATTTAGAACTGCCAATTCCACGAGCCTTTAGGTGTTTTAACAAAGAATTGTATTCGCCCTGGATCCAAAAATTACTCACTTTTTCCGAAGGAAATTGTAACAATCTAACACCAGAAAAGGACATCGACTGCTGTGATGATTTTTTCTATGACTCGATGGAATCCTTAAATACTTCAACAGAAACTGTAGTAAAACAAGATGACTGTGATTTAGATATGTGTAAATCACCATTTAAAAATGACGAGCCACTATTTGAAGGTAATAAACCATTATTTGAAGATAGCAAACAACCATTTGAATATGGTAATCCACCTTTTGAAGATGACAATCCACCACTGAAAGATGACAAACCACCATTCGAAGATGACAAACCACTATTTGAAAATGAGAAACCACCATTTGAAAACGACAAATCACCATTTGAAAGTGATAGACCACCACTTGAAAGTGATAAATCACCATTTGAAAGTGATAAACCACCATTTGAAAGTGATAAACCATCATTTGAATGTGATAAACCACGATTTGAAGATGACAAATCACCATTTGAAGATGACACACCACTATTGGAAGATGACACACCACTATTGGAAGATGACACACCACTATTGGAAGATGACAAACCCCCATTTGAAGGTGACAAACAAGCATTTGAAGATGATAAACAAGCATTTGAAGATGACAAACCACCATATGAAGATGACAAACCAACATTTGAAGATGATAAACAAGCATTTGAAGTTAACAAATCTCCATTTCAAAATGACCAACAACCATTTGAAGATAATAAGTCTCCCTTTGAAGATGACAAACAACCGTTTAAAGATAATAAACCTCCATTTGAAGATGACAAAAAACCATTTGAAGATAATAAATGTCCATTTGAAGATGACAAACAACCATTTGAAGTTAACAAATCTCCATTTGAAGATGACAAACCTGTAACAGAAGACTTGGACCAGGACATTCAAAGTGATATGGAAATGGAAACACATAATACCAGCCTTATAAATTCTCCGGTTTTAGACGACTATATCGATGAATCTGTGACCAATCAGGTAGTTTTAAATAGTCAAATCGATTGTGAGGATAATTTAAAAATGGAAGAAAATCCTGTAGCTGATGAAGTTGTTGCCGATGATGAGCCATACCTCAAAGAAGAACTTAACAAAAATGATGTAACTGAATCTTGTATAGAATCAGACATTGAGGAAAATACACTAACGGACAAAAATGTAAACGAAAATCAGTTTAATAGTGATGTTGATAATCAATGTGAGGTTGTATCTGAAGTAAGTGAACTAGATACATGTAATGAAGAAGAAGTCGCCTATGAATCGATTCAATATCCACCAGTTCAATGTGATGATCAGTATGATGATAGAAAACAGAATACAACTTTAGAAACTACTGAATCTGAAAATGTTCGGTTTCCTTCTAATGAAATCCCGTATAAAAAGTGCAATCGACTTAAAAGATCCTTATCAGATTCTGCATTAAACATGTACAATAATGAAGAACAGTCGAAACAGGAAAATGAAGATAATGTTCAGTTTATTTGGCCATTTAAACGTAGAAAGGTTAATAATGTAAACAATGAATTCCTAGCTCAAAATTTGTGCAATTTAATTCATAATAATAGACGTAATTCAGTGTCTTCTTTTTATAATGAAGAAAATGTTTCGTTTTGTATTTTGATAGATAATAGTTGCATTATAACTGAAGAAGAAAACGAAGAAACAGAGAAAGTTTGTTATACAGAACTTTCGGAAGATTGTTTACAAAATGAGCAAAATACCGAGACTTTAACAGAAGATATATCAAATCCACAACCAGAACACGCTTGTGATTATTCAGATTCAGTTGTAGCAGACTGCGAAGAAGAAAAAACCTTAGAAGAATCATGGGTGGAAGATGTGGGTTGTGAAGAAACGATTATCGATGACGATGTTGCCGAAGACATAGAAATTTGCGAACCTTCGTCGCCAAAAGACGTTATTTTGTCTGACAATGAAGAATCGGGTGTTTTTAGTAGCAGCGAGCACACCGATAAAGTAAAATCAATATATGGTGATAAAATGTGTAGCGATGATGCTCTATTCGTTGAAACTCTGTATAATACTCCCCAAATGGATGTGAATAAAACTTTGTATAGCAGAGAAACTCGTGTCTCTGAAGAGTATGATAGATATTATGATAACTATTCTTTAGAAAAAATGCTATCGGAATCTAATGAACCACCATTGTCGCCTTATGTTCCACCATATATTGACAAAATTTTGAACTCTGGCAAATTGAATCCTAAAGAAGCGCCAGAAAACAAGAAGAACGTAAGTGAAGGAACTTCATCTCCATTCCAAAATAAGAGTAATGCTTTAGACATTGTTGTAGATATTAATGTTGATAATAATCAACGTGAAAATCGACATTCCATAGAAATTTTTGCTAAAACTCAAGAAGATGCCGTGCATTCTTGCGAATCTAGTGTTGATAATGTATTTACGTATAATCAGAAAGACGAAGATGCAGTTTATACATCTAGTTCACCTGAAGTATCTTCTACTACTTCGGAAGAGAAAAACTCCAGCATATTATTAAAAATAACAAATTATAAAGGTTCTAGAATATCACAAATTAATGATATTAGTAGTGTTAATAAGAGGTCTAGTTGCAAGTTTACAGAAGAAAAGGAATATTTACACTCTCACGCAAATTTTTCCTCAAATCGACCACTTTTGACTAAAGCAGCTCAAAAATATATTCCTCCCTTAAAAGAATCCATCCGTGATCTTAAAGTCAAACTTTCTTTACCTCAACATAGTCTTATGAAACTAAAGCAATTAAAAATGTCCAAAGATGAACCAAAGCTGAATAAACAAAATGTTTCAACACCTCGCATTCCTAAGAAACCAAAGCCTAAATTTGAAGACGTTCTTAAAAGTATAGATGAAATGCAATTTAAAATGCATAAAGAAAAGACCAAAAAACCAAAAAAATCTATTCCTAAAGTAGTTATTAAGAAAAATCGAAACGGTTCTCATTACGCGAGTACTTCAAATAAAGACGATTTTAACCCGGATTTGACAGGTAGAAAATGGCAACCATGGGTGTTTATAGAGAAAAACCATTTCATTGACAAAATGGCAACTAGAAACAAAACGAAGGCTATTTACAGCCATAGGAAGAGGACTTATGTGTTAGCTGAAAAGTTTCAGAAGTATAAGTCCGCAAGCAGTGCTAAGTTTGTGATATCGCCACCGATATCGGACAACTCTTCTTCGGGACTTAAATACACGATAAGATTAAAACATAATTACTGAGTGTAGTTTGTGTTGAGTGTCGCAGTTCCTTGGGTCTATGTATAATAATTAACAGCCATATTGGCTTCTGTGTTAATGGATCCCACCCCAATAAAGGTCTCGTGTTATCATTCCTACGATTCTATTTTAGTTTTTTAGTAGTTACCCATGTTAGTTTACTATATAGTTTATTATAACGAAGCCAAATTCAATACTAAGTGTGATATAAAAAGAAAAGAATTGTTATTGTTTGATAGTGCAATTTGATCTGATCTGTAATTTGTTAGAGTTTCAAATTTTATTATAATCGTTTTTACCTGCTGTGCCTGTCATTCCATTTTTATTAGTGTTATTGATTTGTACTATTTATTTCTTAGAATTGCACCTTCAAGATTTTAGTTATTTATTTAGCCATAATTTATGAGTATTATTTCCGTTAAATATTTGATTCCAAATAATACTGATATTTCTTATAAATATGTTTATGTTTGAATAATGTTTAGATGAGTTTTCTGTAAGTTGATTTATTCGTATTGGCGGCGGAGTCCATGCCTGACTAAGTAAATGTTTTGTAAATATAGTTGATGTGTGAAGTTGTGTGTGCAATCAAGGTCACCTAACATAAAAATGTACTTATACCTAGTCTAATAATAATTGGTAATAGTAAATACATAGACCGATATAGATATTCATATTTTTGTGTGCCTATTTAAAGAATTTATTTGTAATCTATCGATAAATCGATCCACTCCATTTGATGAAATATGTCGTAAACCTCTTTCTGTCTTCCGTCGCCAAAGTTGAGAGCGTCGCTGTAATGTATGTGGTGCTTCATTCTGAAACCGAGTGATAGGTTCATTGTCGTTATATCGCCCGTGATGATTGCAGCTTGCAAATATCCCGATTATATTTACACAACGTCCAGAGAACCGACAGAGCCTTGTTCTGCCTATATTAGCGGTCGATACAAAGATAATGAGCTAATTTTGATGATATTTATGTACCTTGGCAATGAAATAATCACTGTGTGGTTTTGACAAGATGTTATAAATTAGTGTTAGTACGATCAGTGCCTTCGGTACTGTCAACATTGCTCACGTATAGTAAATTTTAAGCACATGTGTAATCATGTCTGGTAGATATTGATTTGACTGCAACATGTATCTATGTTACTGTGTAGGCGAAGTACAAAATTTGCACACTTTAATTGTTAAAACCTTATAATGTAACATGTATTTTGTAAGAATATGTTCGTTCAATATCATTCAATAATTGTGTTTGTAATGATGTTGCAGTGAAACAACATAGTGTAGGTAGGTAATAAAATTAAAGCGTGAAATAACCAAAGCCAATACTCAGAAATAATAGATGTTGAGAAAGTGTGTACGTACGTAGGTACCTACAGAATGTATACCTACACGGCGAAATAGCTGCCGGATGCGATACGTCTCGTATTGGAGAGGTAGATGTATCATAATAGTCCATGTAAAATATCAATATAATTTATACAAATTGCACCCAGAATATTTATTGGGCATATTTTCATATACGTACCTAGGTTGCGAAGTTTTACTACATCTCAATGTTTCAATACAGGTACATGTTTTACTACGTGGAAGCAGCGTTAGGATACGCGGACAGTGCCTTTTACATAGTGCTGATATTATACAAGCAGTACCTTCGAGTACCTATGTCTTAGGACAAATGTTACTCTTACTACATACGTTTTGGCCATTTTAAATATTTTGGAAATATCTGTTGATCTCATAAAGGCACTCACCGATTCATGTTTTGCCTTATCGTGCCTATAAATATATTTTATTATTAAAATACACTATTTTGATATCATGTACAGGGTGTTCAATAAATATACCAAATATATGTGCTTTTAAGTCCTGCATACATGTATTTGCAAAGTGTTGCCTTCGTAGATAAAAATATTTTAGAAATACATCATAGTGTTATTGTGTAACAAGTAATTGAAATAATATTTTAAATGTGTTGAAATTCATTATAAGATGGTCGGTTATACAGTTTAATTTATTTATAGATCATAATATATTGTATGAGAAATGGTAGTTTTAAGTATTAGTCGTAAGTTTTATGGATAATAAATGTACAAAGGTAAAGTTAAGAGATGCGTTGACTTGCGCCCTGGATTTATTTGGGCACACATAACCTCAGTAGAGTTGAGGCTGGATATTTACCAAAAAGACAGTTTGCTGGTACACGTGCATGTAATGATGAGACGCGGCGCGCTGCCTGCGCCCGCCTGCCTGCCTGCCTGCCTGCCTGGCTGCCGGGCGGCGGCGGGGGTGGCGCGCTGTCTCGCAGACTGATGACTGATTACTTCACGTTCACTTAACAATCCTATCATACAATTAATTTCATCGTAACTTTCGATACCTTGTATGTTTGTTATGCACTATTGAGTGGATTGTTGTTTTTTTCCCTGCACTTGTTGGCCATTGTTATAACTAAGTTAATTAATGGTATATTCTATTGTGGTTAAATTATTTAATTAAGGGTTATGGATTAGTTATTATTGATGATTTAATAATTAGATATTTGTTTGTCGTTTAAATGTTAATGCATATCTTCTTATGCCAGTAACGCACGTGATAATGTATGGTGATAGACGGAAAATTGGACACACTTGCTCCGAAACTGAGTGGTTTATAAACTCAAGTGTGACACATTATACTGTTAATTAAAGGGATGTTATTATGTATTACGTTTTCGAGTGGTACCTAGTTTTGAAATTGTTCTATAATTGACCAAAATAAATGTGTTCGCAGTAAATATACGTTTATTATTTATTACATTAAATTAATTGTTACACTGGTATATTAACTTTCACAGCTTCTTGCCGTATGGCGCTGATCAGCTCTTGGTTCACCAGAAATACGAAGCGAAGTCCGGCAATCTGGGTACAAAAAATACAACTTAACTATTGATCTAATAACTTTGCAATGAACATAACGCCCACTAATTCGCTTCAATTCAATTTTCAATAATTTCAACAACGTATCGTTCCAAGAATTCAACTTCAAATTCTTTTAGTGCAACATGCGTTAAGCTGAAATATGGGCGAACTATTGAGTGTTCTCATAACATTCATTATGCCAAAATTGCCATAATCCCGCAGTAATGGTGACGTCCGAAATCATGGGTTGTACAACAATGGCATGATATAATCGGTGAGACTAATGACACGCAAAATATTACGAGCATAGGTATAGATAAATACCTCAATGACGGTGTTGTGATTGAGCTTCACTTTGTTGCCTGGCAGCACCGGCCGCCCGTCCACGAATATGGGCCGTTTGCCCTCCGATGACATAAAAAAGTCTCCGCTGTTCCGCAGCCGAATGGTAGCCTGCTTCCGAGACACCTTCGCCGCCGGCCCTTCCAAAGTCAGGTCCACATCGATATTGTTGTCCCGCGTACTACGGCCTACTGCGATCTAGTGAACAAAAACGTAAAAACATTAATTAAAGTTTTTGTTTAATACAAATGTTTTTAGAGTTTTATACTTTTAAATTATGTGTTTTGACGTAGAACATAATCTGCATACAATGCCTTTAAATCTAATCGTATTTTTAATTAACATTTCATGTAAGGTGTACCTACAATATCAAGTTGATGATAATTAATTATGATACTTGGTTTGATAAAAGTCTGATAGTACCTACCTATCTATAAAAACCTATGACATTAATTTATATGACTATACGTCTCACGTCGCCTCTACGTAGTATATCTACTGAGCTAATTATTACCGCAGCCCGTGAATGCAGTTACTAATTGATACGGTGAATTTAAATTAAATAATTCCACCCAGGCTTTGTCTTTGGCTTTGGCATCGCTTAAAACTACCTATAGGTAGAGTAGCGTAGGTACCTACCTATCATACATGGGTGGGTAGGTGATATCAATAAAAATTCACGTTTTTCCCATAAACTTATAAACTGTTCACATAGTTTACCCACGTGTCGTAATAATGCGCAACGATATCCTTCTTCGCATGTTCGTAACAAAAGCCATCAAAATACTGAAACCACTCAACAAGTTTTGCGTAAAATCGACGTTTATTAAACACGCACGCAAGCAATTAAAACACAATCGAAATCGGAAACTAATTAACGAATGCACTATGAAACGAATAGTTTTGATAATAGCCGTTAAAAACAATACCTGCTTATAAATAATTTGCAATAATGACGGACAACCGCCAGCTGACAAATTGGTACATTGGAATCACACGTCTTATCTACATTTCGTGACTGTAAAACTGCTAAATATGTTTACAATCTATAAAATATCTTAGATAGCGTCACTGATATTTTCATAATTAAATAAATTATGGTAAAAAAATCGAATGAGATTTTTTATGGAAATGATTAAAGCACAGTCGAAGAGAGAATGGCGTGGACGTGGTCGATTTAAACTTTTTGAGCGACTGTAGGTACTGTTTAATGATTGTGTTCATTAGTATTGTGTTATTAACAAAGCAGATAGAACTGTTGACATACTAATTGAACAGATAAGGTTATCAAATAACTAGTTATTCGTACAGCTGATTATGTGCAAGTACGTCGCTGTGTTCGTTACTGTATTTGTGACTTCTATTTTCCTTTTACTCGATAGTAGTGCAGAATATTTTATAGTGCTAAAGTAAAATATACCGAATTGTTCTGCTTCAGTACATTTTACACAAAATAGCTATGAAAGTGGAACGGGAGTTTATTTTTCTAGGTTTTAATATTTATTACTATGGTAACATTTAAGTACGTTACGGTTGCCTACGCAAATAAGCCGTATTTTTATATATAGTGAATTAAATACCTTTTTATTAATGACTTTATTGTGTAATTTTAAATCTATAGCTAGGTTTGATGGGTATTCACGACCGGTTTCGTTTTCACATCCTCCGGAAAATAAAATAAACTGAGTAATTTAAATCACACTCAGTGTATATGTTTTATAAAGGAGCCATAAACATTATAAACTCTGACTCAAATCTTTCCAGACAACAGGTGAATTTCGTGCCATTTGTACCATAGTAATGTATTGTTCTAATGCGAAATCTGCAATAGGCATAGGATAACCCATCAAATGGCAGTTGACAAACGGCGGTTCAGTGACACAGATGTGCACTTTCATTACCTGTGGCACCGTTACATTCAAACATGGTAAGACGTTAGACATTTCTAAGTTATCTTTAAGTAGCTTCGAATAACTAAGGTAAAGGTACATTTAAAAGCCTGCCTATAAGTAAACAAAACCGAATAAAACTTCCAGAATTTCATTAAAACAAATAAGAAGTTGGACTTTTAAAAATATATAAAAAAGCATATTTTTTAATGGTTTTGCTTGTCTGCGCGTCTGTTCTGTTTATGACACATCACGCTAAAAATACTGCATGCATGACTGCATGGAATTGAATATATGAATTTCACCAATGTGTAAAACCCTGCTGAAGCCCTGAACCTCATAATAGTAGTACTTATAAGACCAGCAGTCAACAGTCCTCAAATATGGAATTTAAAAGCAAGATGGCGTGACAATTTCTGTCATGGCTTTATAACTGCGAATGGGCGGGAAAGTCATTACAAGTAATGAGTTTCGTGGTTAACCATGTTATTTCTTAATCTGGTTAGTGTTAACATTGTTTTTTCTTTGAAAGTAATATTATTAGGAATAAATTGGTTATTTATGACCACGGATAAACCACTATAGATGAGCTCTAGGCATCTATTTAAGTATGAATTAAAAAAGTTCCACCTCATTAAAATGCGTCTGAGTCTAGATAATTGAAAGTCTTTCAATATTGGCGGATAGTCCCAATCTTTGGTCTCAAAAAAACTGAATCACTAATATTGGAAATAAACCTAATTAAATACCTAACGGTAGGAGAAACAGTAGTGTTTATTATTGGGTGAAACGTCATTGTGACAGTAGCTATGTATGTAGATTTAGACGGGTGCCCACGCCCGCATCCGCTTGTCAGCAAAATACATAGGTAAGTACTAGGTGGTAGGTATCTAAAGTTCAAACATCGATTGTTGCTATTTTTGGCATATTCTATATATAAATGAATTAATTTAAAAGTGGTGATTTCGATGCCATTTGCAATTTAGATAAATCGAATAGCAATTTCGAGAAGCATAAAAATAATTTTACGTAGTTACTTATTAAGTCATGAAATATCGATTAGTTGATGAATCATCATTTTTTCTACAAGGATCCACTATGTCCTGGATGTACATAAATCCGACGGTCCATATACACATTTACTAAGTCGTTACGGGTTAGTCACATGCACGGAAGTCTGCAATTGGGTCAAACCAAAAATGTCGCATCACCTCTGATCGTTTATAAAAGTTAGAAGGTCACTATATGGAAAGTTAAAACTAGCATTCAGGCGAATCTGGTTAATTATCCTGGCATTTGGTAACTGCATTATAAAAAAGACAGGACAAATTACCAACGCAATAGAGACTTTCTTTGTAATGCTTCTTTTGAACCCTCAACAATGACTCTGGATTTCTTATTCACAACGCTTAGCAATAAGGCTGACATTTCAACCAGTCTACATTTCTATTTATATTTTTAAGATGACAACACGATACGATCTGCAATTATCATTAACATTGCAAATACCACGGGACCGTCCATGTCAAATATTGAAAACGCTATCCAAATAACCCAATATTAATATCTCTACAAAGGTAACGAACTTTAAACACGTAAACGCATTAGTCTTGTTGAAGTTATATTAAATTAGCATTTAGTAATATCGTGCATTTGCAGCATTTAGTATTAAATAAATCAAAGTCTTGGATCTTATAAAATTCCTCTGAAGTGCAAGTCTCATTTGCAAGAACAACAATTATTTACCTACTATGGATGGTGAGATTATTGGTGGTGGGATTATTGTAGATGGAGGGACACCATAATATTTATTAGAGAGAAGTCTTAAGAAAGATAGCTTGCAGGTCTTTGCACTGCAGTAAGAAACATTCAGGTTTGAGGATTTACATTTCATATTTTCGCAAGCGCAGTTACTTTAATAGGATAAATAGGGAATTTTGGGGTTAATTATTAGGGAAATAGGGCACATTATTGCCCAGTTTTTCTTATTTATTTTGATTGGAAACCAATAGCCATAATCGATGTAAGGATAAAATATTATGACACAAAATTAGTTGTTACTAATTTTACAGTACTGAGTAACAGAGAAGTAAAAGAAAAACGACATGTCACGCTGTTTCATTGATGGACAGTCAAGGAATTTATGTTTTCTTATCGTAAGTAAAATGTATACAAGGTTTCTAATATAGGACCTATTTGGTCCCAACCAATATTGGGCATCATTAATAACAAAGTTCACCACGACATCCACGTTGGATAAAGTTTTCACTTTTAATTCTGAAATAGCACAGGATCAAAAGTCTCTTCCTGACTTCATCTGTACCTATAGAAAGATCAAACTAAATCATTTTTGAAAAGCATCAAATCGGCAAACCAGACCACTGAATACAGTTTTCAGTTTCCTATACCACATAAATTTAAAATAAATAGATTAAAGTACCATAAAGGAAAAATAATTAAATACCACTATCAACGCTAATTAAATTCGCGAATTAGGACAAAAACAACGGAAAGACTTGTAATGGCAATGTGGAAA